ATAGCCTATACCTAAGACTACATGATTGCCCCGATGTTAGGATGACAATACCATTCCATTACTTGTGTGGTATGTGGAATCTGCTGGTTCACACGGCTTGGTGTTGGTTCCGCGGAGTCAGCGGCGTCACTCGTGATACGATATTTTACCCATACATAGATTTTGCCCCCGGCGTTGTTCAATTATTTCTTAACATGTAGCGCGTACGTGACATACGTCTGTACAATAACAAACAACTATCTCTTTTGGCAAAATAAACATCCCTCTAAGTTTTTACGACGTCATAAAGAATTCGGTCTTGCAATCTGAGATCGGATTCTGACATACACACTTCGAATATGTTATCGTGTAATAAAAAATATAAATATTACGATTTTAACTTACATTGGACAGAGAATATTTGTTTTATACTTTTATTTTTCACATCTCATTAATTCTTTAGCTAATATAAAACATAGTTATTTGTTTTTGAAGTATTTTTATCTAATGTATATAATATATTACTGTAATAAACCTAATTAAAGAGATCCCTCGTGTTGTTTAAGCTCTTTCTTCATTAATTATTTGATTCATTAATATAAAAAGAAATATTATCTTCTGTCCGCAGTAATCGCCGGGGGTGGCAGTCGGCGGTTATAAGAAATAGCTTATAATTACTCCACGACATTCGTTGAAGTTAGTAAGTAAGAAGTTGTATGGCTTGAAATGTCTTTTTCATTTATTCGTTTCAGCACTTGGATGGTAGCTGTTAAATAAAAAAAAATATTTCGTTTGTATTATTATTTTTAGTCTGAAATTTAATCTTGATTGATTTATAAATTCTGGATATTAAAAATATGGTTTTATTAATATTTCCTCGCAATATCAGAAACCGTAAAATTTCGTGGTATGAAACCCAAAATTAATTAATTATTATTCTTTATAAATTACATATAATTGTTTATTGATATACATAATACATACACATACATACGAATACACGTATAACACTGAACATATATAAAGTATAGAATATATAGACCTGTATTTACGTAATACTATATATTTGAACACAAATTTCTCATCGGAATCAAACACGCCCTAATATGTACATATATACGTATGTATAATGCTCTTAATTCAAATATACCAAAGCGTGTAGTAATATCAATTTATTATACTGATAAATATATTTCAAATTTTATTACTTAATATTAAAATATCAAAGAAATAGATTGCTATTGGTTTTCGATATCAGAGTCAAAGTAAAATATGTGAGCTTTTGCATTTAAAATTAATCAATATCTAATGTTTAAAATTCTTCTCCGTATTTCAGCATCAAACGCAAATTATTTAAAAAAATCTCTTCGTTACAGGAAAAACTGATAAAACTATACGACTTGCTTAAGGTATAAAAACTTTGACCACAAAGCTTTATGGAGTTTATATGAGGTTTTATAAGCCATATTAACGGAACAGTCCGTTAAATCCCACTTGGGCGTTAAAGCGTAAAAACTGATCAACATTTAACGAGCACAAAAACGCATTCTGTGTCCATCGTGTGCACAACGTGGAATGACTGGACTGTGATTTCGTTTTGCGAGTTTCGAATTCATCCTACAATATATACAAACTTTTTGTATTGAAATTTAAAATACTCTGTTTTATAATTGTTACTTAATTATATTTATTTTTGAATGAAAATTTTACATGTAAAATTATTTGTACAGAATAAGTCGGGTGGATTGTTGTTATTTTATAAATAAAATTAAGGTTTTCGGATAGTACGCGTTTTTTTATTATTTTTGAACTACATCATTTCGATCTTTCAGTGTCTTTACAGGTTACTGTACTGTACAGGTACCTGTGTTTACAGGTACTGTAGACAAGATGAACGTAGTGTGATTGCTAATAAGCAATTAAAAATATATAATATGACTTTCTAAATAAAGAAAAAAAATATTTGATTTTTATTTATTTCATGAAAAGGGAAGATTTATTTAAACTTTTAATATAAGCAATGTTAATTTATATTTTTCATCATAAAATCAATTTACTTTGTGTAAAGAAAAAATTTATAGATCCTTAATATAAAAAAACTGAGTCGCGAATGTTTTTTTTTACGAGGATCCTTAAAAATGGCATTTATTTATTATATGTAGTATACAGTATATTAAATTTACTGTCGCAGATATGTAAAGTTAAACCAGAAACACTGTATATAAATGAAAAACATAGTTTTGTACAACAAATAAATATATTTTCCATTAAGTTCCATGTATAAATTTTAAAATTACCTTTTAAATAACATTTATGACAACAATATCTTAGTAAGTTATTTTACATTATATCGGAAGTTGAAAATTTGAAATCACAATGTCACTATATAATTCCATATAATAGTTAAATTACAATAATCTCTTCTATAATAATTAATCAAATTCATTAATATGTGTATATGGTATACAATAATTTCCGTAGGTTGTCAGGCTATACTAATTATTTACATATATAGATGGTCGGTGCGGCGAGTTCAGTAAATCACCTAGAACTACAAAGAAAGAGGTTACTCATGTGCTTACATTAACACTAAAACATCGAATAATGGTCCACATGACGTTTAAACTAATATACTCAAACACTATCTGTAACTCGCTGCGGAAACATACTAACTTGAATAATGATAATAAATAAATAATTATAAGTCAGAGATCTTTCATGGGAAAAGTAATAGATGAGATCATGTCCATTCCTTTATGAGTTTATTATAATATTAATCAAAGAAACCATTGACTTGAATACATGAAAACTCTTATAATTTCTGATACATAAAATGTTAAGTAAGTCCGAATATTTCTCTGTCAACATTTGTATTTCAATATGAACAATAAAAGGGAAACTAGATCCGAAATAAACATGCACTTTTTCCATGAACATGATCTCTTCAAATGTCTTTTATAAAATACAACATTAATATAAAAAAAAATCAAACACTTTCTGTCCGTACACTTAAATGTTATACATTTTTTTAAAGGTTTAGCAGAAATGGTCAATCAATTTGCAATATATTGATGCATTTGAGTGTAATTTAAAAATGTGTAAATATTGGATTCCGTCTGTCTATAATTATAAGGTCTTGCTTGTGTGGTTTTAAATCGAATAATATTAACAAAAATTAAATAATTAATATTGAAATTTATCAAATTAATTTCCTTAATTGACCAAATCTGCTTCATCTACAAACATTAATAAATATTAGGTTGTAAGGTTGTGCGTATGGTATTCGTTTATTTATTTATATGTGACTTAGTTACAAAATTTATTTCAGCATTTCTTATAAATTTTGTTCTTATTGGAACACAAAGTAAAAATACGGTAAGCTTTTACTATCAAGCTGCTAATATAAAACTGCTGACTATTCAATTTTAAAGCTAGGAACGCGCTCTTCAACACATATTGAAAAAATATACAGCGACACTATTTTTTTTTTTTTGCAAAATGGCATTAAATGTAACAAATCCTTTTGGTAGATTAATATAATTATTAAAGAACTTAGCTAATCAGGACATTAAATATAAGTTTTCGACTATCTAATCCACGAGATTTATTATAAAGAAGGAAATAAAATTAAGTACATAGGGAAATTAAATTCTTAGTCAATACATAATTATGTATAAATAAATATTTAAATATATATCCAAGTATTAATTAATACCTTTAGATGGAAATTTCATTATTTTTATTGCGAAATATTAATTACAGAAGAATATTTCGAAATGGTAATTAAGATATTGTATATCTTCTACAAGTCATTGAACCTATATTTATATTAATAATTGAGTTTTTTAAACATACATACATATATATATTCAAAGATTATTTGTAAATAATAAGTGTAAGGATTATTCAAGTTTTTGGAACTTAGTATAATAGTTTCACTTACAAAAATATTATTGATCCATATATAGCTGTACATAGCTGTATATTTGAAGCCTTCGTTGGCACAAATTGCATTAAATATTTTATATAGCAATAACTAAAGATTTAAATAATTTTACCAAATGACAATATATAATATTTTTATGTTCATAAAGGCTATATAATATAAATTTCAAATTATTTATAAACACTTATTACAAATTCAAACAATACAATATTAAGAATACGAAAATATTGGAATTAAACCACAAACATTCAATAACATTTACTCTAACATCAAAACATGAAATAAATTTTTATATAAATTACAAGATATCGAACTTTTCTCTCTATATTTTACTATTCCGTTACGGATTTTATAAATATTAAAAAATTCTGGCATTTATTTGGCTCAGTGCATGTTGGCCCTTAGAGGGAAACAAAAACGTCTATAATACTAACAATATGTTTACATGTTTTCAGTAAATTGAAAGGTAAAATGTCACCCAGCGACTTACGTTTACCTGATAGACACAATGTAAAAAATGTTTTTAATATTTAAAGCTCACAATGATGTGCCAATGTGAGTAGGACAAAAGTTACATCATTTATGATTAGCTAAATGACCCTGTGTTAGTCGTGGACTGCGACCGAGGCCTCCGTCCGCGGCCAGCCTCGGGATCACTCTAAGAAATTTAGAATCTACGCTCTACATACGTAGTCGTTTTAGGCACAGCCTACTTAACGATACCGACTAGACGTCGTCTTATAATATATAGTATAGTTGAAGTAATAATATATCGATACATACAAACTTACTAAATTTATTAGAATTTTGGCAGTTACCGTTCGGTACTAGGCGAAGACTAGGGTTTGGGCGACGATCGCAATTGTTACTCTTTCTATAGACGCGTTCATCGTCACAGTGCCGGAGGCGGCCACCTAAACTATACCTACAAGGGACCGCCTGTAACGCAAGCGTCAAGATCTCCGCATAGAAGCTTCGCGTGCGTCGCAACCGCGTGCGCGTGGCGGCGGGAAGGCACGGCGTGGGTGACGCGGCGGCTGCGGCCCGGTTCTGAAGCCGCCGCCGCAGCGCGATATCAGAGCGGGAAGCAGCGCGCCGCGCGCCGCGGTTCGCTCGCACCGCGACGACGACGCGCCCCCGCCACTACGTTGGTTTTCACATCAATGTTCGATTCACTTTCACCTCCACCTCCACCGCAGAGTCGCTCGACTTCTATAGGCTCTAATTTGTGCATCGATGGGCGACTTGAAATCCTCGCACTCTCTGCTAAGGGTTTCGGAGATTTTTCTGAGTCATCCAAGTCTATTCGACCTAATCTTAACGCTAAATTGTATTCTGCACGTTCTATTACACTTGGAGGTTCATCGGCCAAAGTTGTTTCCGCAAATGTGGAATCTGCCGCAGCCGAATCTGGTCTGATTGAATCACCCTGTGCTGTAAGATAGCGCTGTGTATCAGTAGAAGAAGGGGAGGCATCGGGTCGGCGACGCTCGGGTGTGGTGAATACAGAATCTGATGCCCAGCTGCGTGTCTCTGAATTTTGTCGAATAGTATCGTCGATACTGCGATGGGACGTTCGACGGCTAGTGCGGGGACTCTCATCGTCAATAGCACGGAAATCGAGTGTACTTAAATCAAAATATCCTCCTACACGTCGTCGTGAACTATCACGTCTGAAAGACGGCCGATGTGACGTAAATGCAGCGTCATATAACTCACAGATGCTTGTTCGATCCGAATGGGGTTCTTCATAAAGAGTCAAATTTCGTGTTTCAGTTGCATCAGATGGAGTCTCGTCTCTATTAGATGTAACCTCACTGCGTTCTGAAATGTCGAATGTGAATCTTGCCTCAAATCTATCTGGACTCAACAAAGGTGCAGACCTTGAGCAATCATCTGAATGTTGCGTTTCTGCTTCTAAAGCCAATACTGTACTTCGTCGCGGGGAAGTTTCTTCTGAATCTGTTGAGCGATCAGAGCGTGTTGCTTGACAAATTTGGCGGCGTGATAAGGCAGGTTGCGAACCGCAAGGTGTTCTTCTGCAACAAATACGTTCGTGTCTAACATCTGATCCGCTACTTCCTGTTGATTTCGAATGTGGCGGACGTCGACGCCGGTCGTCCTCCCGCCCATATAGGGATGTGAAATCTTCCGAACAAAACTTTTCAAATAATTCCTGTGAACTTAATCGTGTTGAACCCGTAGCGTTATAAAAAGCTTCAGTCGGCGAACGGTCAGCCCGTTCGTAAAGTGCACTAGAACTAGCTCTTTTTGACTTGTCCATCAGACCTAATTTATAAATTCGAGGTAAACGTCTCTCAAAAACACCCTGAGAGTGAGCGCGAGAAGGCACGCGGAGAGTAAGCGGAGGTTCACGTCTATCAAGAACTCGGTCCGCAGATGCACCGCGAGCGTGCGAATTTCTTTTTACATGAATCGGTTCAGCTGGCGGGGAGGTGGCGAACTCTGGTTCGTATCGTTCTTCGTCGGGTGTTTCGGCGGATGGCCCAGAGCGCTCCAACGAACGTTGGCATTCGCACTCTTCGTGTTCGTCACTCGCGTCACCTTCATCAAATGACGGTACGCGGGGTCCATGGCCGAACACACGACGGCGTTCTTCGGCCGCTCCTTCGTCATCTTCGAGACGGATGGAACGTCGAAGAGGCGGCCGGTCCCGTCGCGGCCGACGCGGTGCTTCCAGAGTAACAGCGTGCGGCAGCGGCGGGCGTGTTGTTTTCGGCATTAGGCGGTCGAGCGAGAGACCGCGTTGCGGTCGCAGCGGGCGGCGCCTGGCGTCTCGCACCGCAGTGGGGCTGGTCTCCTCCGGCGTTGTAGGTAGAGCAGCACCGCGACCGAATTCGATGAACCAGAGTTCGTCCTTAAGTTCGCACTCTCACTTCTTCTCATTCATATCTTTATTTAAATAATGTAGCACGTAATGGAGAACTAAATCATAGCAGTATTTGTATTCAGTCTGCAACCAAAACAAGAAAATTTTTATGATTTAAGAAGTAACTATTAAGGAAACTATAAAATGAATAAGGATTCCCACATACCATGTTTTCTACCAGTTGAGGTCGATGTCGTCGAACTGTTTTCACAGCCTGAAATACGTCAACTTCTCCATGTTGAATAACTTGTTCTATGCAGGCGTTAGCGGCGCAATACACCCCTGCACGACTACGACCATCCCTGTAATTAATTTAGTATTAATTTTTGTCACTACTGTTATGAACAATTAAATAAAAGATAAATTTTAAACTTCTTACGGTGAAACAACGCAAACAGGCCCATAATCGGTACGTTGTCGCCACCGCTCGACCATATTCATAAGTTCAACTAGTGAGTTAGTGGACGAAGGCACTTTATGACCCATCGGCCAACACGTCAATTGGAACAGTTGTACTGTTTTCGGAGGAGCTTTCAATCCGGCCATCAATTCCGTCAGAGATACAATCTACAACGCACAAAAAATAATCAGACGAACATTTTGGCATTTATAACAGTAATAAAACGATGACGATCCATTAAATTGGTGAATAGGATTTTTTCAATAACTTTTTGTACATAAATTGTATTTATAAAAGCTTTTTACGGTTAAAGCGATTTAAATATTTAGAAAGTTTTTATTTTGGCTTGTATTGTATCGCTGTGGTGTATTTCACAAGTTTAAAATATAAAGTAAATACAAATAGATTAAAATATATAAAAACCAAAGTTTATTTATTGTACCTTCGTCTTAATTTACAGATGAAATTAAAGTAATTACTGTCTATGTAACTTACTTTCTTGTTAATTCTGAATATCCACGTCTTGATGTTAGTATAATGATTGTGAGAAACATGATCTATTGTAAAGACAGGTCCGTATTTCTTAGAGTGGCGTCCTTCAGGCCAAAATGGCGGATATTGTTGCTGAAATCCGATATGGCTGTTTAGTCTATTGATTTAAATGAGATAAAATAAAGAGCTCGTTAATCTTACCATTGTCTCTATGTCAATTGGTGCCATTTAGAAAGATAATCGAGAATAAAAATGGAGTTGCTATGCAAATTTTTAACTGAGGTTCGGCTAAAGTATTTTCAATTCCCTGAGCGTATTTGCATTAACATAATAAAAATCAAGTCCCACCTATGTACTTCTTACATTACTCCAGACTTTATCTTAGTCCGATTTATAACATGTAGGAGTAAAATATAAATTGAATATCTACAGAATAAATACTTACAGAGTTCTTAGGTGGAACACAAAGTACGACAACAGCGGCACATTCATAATCATAAACTAGAGACCAAAATTCTCCTTGCGTCCGTATTAAGGGCCACTCTGTCACAATGTATTCACGAGGTTTTGTGTAACCCTAGAAACAAATTACTTTGAGTGTCATTTTATCCCTTTTAGCGAAAGTTTAAAAGCCCTTTCTTGTAACGGTAACCACCATTAAGATTTCAAGTTAAATTTGTTGGACTTTGAGCTTCATATATTTAATCATAATATAAATAAAAAGGAAATATATAAGGATGAGCTAATAATAGCACAATATATAAGTAATACGAATATGTCAATATGTACGTATGTACTTACGTCAACGAATACAGCGTTAATGTAATCAGTGAAACTATTCCCTTGAAAGGATGTTAGATATGGACGAAAATTGTCCGCTGAAATATATACATAACTTTAATTAGGTTAAACAAATAAGTACTTAAAGCTAACGTTTCATTTCAGAATAACTTAAAACAATTAAAAGGAGATATTCAAATATCTTAACTTAAACCAAACTCAAGTAGCATTAAACCTAGGAAATAAAATTTCGATATAAAAAATAATAACTTACGCGGCACAACAAGGACGTCTCTATTTTTTTCTCTGTTATCCCCTCTGTGTCCCCCCGCGCAGTCCCCAATGGTAAATCTGGGCGTTTGTTTGCAAATCTGCTGATATTCCTTTTGATATTCATTTAACTTCGTCACAGGATCCCTTTGGGACTTCTGTTTCAGTCTTTGTGACAGTTCCGAGACAGGAAACCAAGATACGCCACAGACTACATGCTCCTCTAACGTGTCATACACGAATTTGTATTGCTCCTTCAGTAAAGATATAATATTTGTGATTTAAATTAAAATGTAGTTAGTTTAATACAGTTGATTATAATTTTGCTCTGGATATTCTAAAACGATATTCTATAATATTGTTAGTATATAGATGTGACTAAATTTAAATGTCAATATTCAAATATATGACCAAAAATACTTTTGCGAACTGTAATATATTTTCCTTTTTACGATATATGTATAACAAAACATGAGTAACTTACTTCATTCTCTATAAGGCCTTTTCTTGATTGTCTCAATTTTTTCAAATATCCGAAAACATCAAAGCAGTCTTCTTCTTCAGCTAATTCTAAATTCGCGTCAATAGCTAAGTACACACCAGACCGTCCACCTCCATCACTTAAAGAAAATATTTGTAAGTGTTTTTTTACATTCGTGTATTTTTATGAGCACTGTGAACTCGCATTGGCTTCAATAAAATAAAAGCGTTGAGGCGCTTAAAATCGAGTGCAGAGCCTTCACAATGAAATGACGAATTCACACACAATGGGAAACAAAATGCTGAATAGAAGTAATGGGTTTAGAAAGTTAATAGTAATATAAAGTGATTTATTTTAAACAAATAAATATGTATATATAAATTTAACAAATTCTCTGCTTGAAACTCACTTGCAGTGGACAACCATAGGTCCTGTGACATTATTAGTAGCGAGTCTTCTCCCAACCACCGCTCGTACACGACGTCTGAACTCCAGCAAGGCATTGCTGAATGGACATGTATGGGAATGCCATTGCGTGTAATGGAACTGAAGAATGAACCTTTCTTCTACCACTACCTGATAAAACAATAGAGAAGAATATAGAAATACGCAATTCTGCCATTTCGATTATCAACATAAATGGTGTCAGGAAATAAATAGAAAATAACAGAGGTTTTCAAATATATATTGAATGTCTTTAAAAAACAATAGTACCCAAAAGAAAGCAGTTAAATTTTTGGTAAGAGCAAGACCTCTAATTTAAAAGACATTTAAATTTAACTTTTTAAGTGGCGAGCGATGTTTCAGAACTTTGTTGTAAAATTAAAGAACTCAATTAAAATAACTATGTATTACAAATGCTATTAAATTTATTGAGATTTAATTTTTGCATTAGTCTTCAGTTACGAAACTCTATAAACAATGAAATAAAGGCAGGATTTATAATCTCTCCAAATGTTAGTGGTAACGATTCCTTGTTCGACAAAATGTATTTTTACTACACAACACTCCGCATTTTTCTTTTCTCTTAATGAAATGTTGGACAAAATGGCGGGCACGAGAAACTTTATTAATCCCAACAAAAGGCTAAAATTTCTTTTTTTCCTCACATTAACTGGTGTTGCTTTATCAACTATTGTTTTATGCGTTTTGTTCACTGTTTTATAGTTTCTGGTTTCAAAAATTTGTTACATTCTTGTATAAAATATTCGTTTTGTTTTCATAACACTTTTATTATAACCAAAAATTCATTTCTCATTTTGTAAGCTCTGTGTTGAAAAGAAAGGCTTTTATTATTGAAATTTTTATTTATGCGTGTGGGTATATGCGTTGCTGTATACATCTAATCAATCTAGATACATTGTTTTTTCAATATTTTAGTTTCTCTTTTATGCAGATATTGCCTTTTATTTTGTTTTTATTTGATTAAAATGCAGATTGCTTAGTTCCTTTATTACTTATCGAATTGTTTTGAAATGACGATTTTATAAAAAAATCACATTGTCTTTTTAAATATTTATTTGACACATTATTCTAAGGTTCTGAAAGACAATAAAACTTGTTCTGAAACCATAACATTTTATATACGTAATTCTGATTTCCAAGTTTTATTGTCATTGTTATTTTAAATTTTATTTAGTGTAGTACTAAAATTCAAATGCATATTTTATTATTTATACCTTCTGAAACATGCTTATTTTATTGCCCTGCAAAAGGAAGAATTAAAATTTCCTTTCTCTGTCAAAATTCACAGTACTTACATCTTTCTCCATCTTGTATAATCGGAAAGTCCGTATGTGGAAATTTGCTAGTTCCTCTTCTTGAACTATCCCTACACTTATCTCGCCGTAAGTTTCATCCTTGTCCTTACTAGGAGGCCAGTACTGAACGCACATTACCTAAACATAAAATAAGTACTGTATTAAAGTACTATTTTAATAAAGATTTAATTGATAAAGAATAATGAACACACAAATATTGTCTGTTAATATTGGCTATCGGTGGAGAGCGTCGCTTTGAAAACGTAAACGTTTAAATTGGTTTTCGCTCCTCAAATATTTGTGCATCAGAAGTTCGACTGTCAGCTCACAATAGATTAAATATAAAGCGATGTTTGCACAACGTGTTCAATAAATGAAACAAATAGGAATCGTAGTCGACGCGGAGTCGTATTTTTTAAAAACAAAACTAAAACTCACTACTCACTTCTAATGAAATAGATCGTTAGCAAGAGACGAGTATTTTATGTCCTACTCATTATCGTTCTCTATATTTTAACATAATGATTTAGTACGGATTAACAAATTAAGATTAATTTCATTATAGATAGCTAAAATAAAAGTAAGAAACTATTTTTTTCATATGAAATTAATTCCTTTATAACTATTATAAATAAATTAAAACAACTTTAACACAAAGGACTGTTAAATGACAAAAACAGGAGAATGTGTAAACAGCGTATGTAACAAGAGGTAACCGCAAAAATTCCAGCTTTCGGGTCGCGGTTAAATAAAGCAAAAATATTTCCTCGAGATATTTTACTTTATCGAGCAAGGGAGCATCTATCACATAATTTGATAAATTCTGCTAAACATTTTGACGCACAAAATATTCAGAAATTTGACAATTTCGCTGAAATGCACGGCCAATATGTAAATTGTTAAAAGCACGGTTGTTTAGATTTATAAAAAGTCTCGTATATTCGTTCGTTCATTTTGGTTTTAAAAAAGCAGCAGGAAATTATCAAGCGATATTACTTGAAATACCGATCCATTACGTTTAATCACGGATGAAAAGGATGGTTTTGATATGGGATTGTAAAACAATCGGAATAAGTAAACGATAGATTTGAACAATTATTATCAGCAATGATTTGCAGTATATTCAATGGCATACAAATTATTAATATATCAGCACAATATTACAAAGCCACTTAATCATGTTTGATTAAATTCATTACAAATTAATATTAAATATTTTATAACCAATTATATGTACTACACTCATGTTATAGATATTACAATTATTGATAACTGATTATTAAAATAAGAATGTCTTTGTAATTTTACTTAATTTCATTTGGAAGCTGGTACAATCACGAGATGAATTAAATGAAACATTTTAAAATTTAATTTCGCCTGGGACGTGTACACGTTTTAGGACGCAATGTATGTAAATTGTGGAAATTGTGCTGATGATATTTTTAAGTTGAAATAAGATTAATTTTGTATAACATTTTACATAGAATATGTTGGGGTATGTGTTTGTCCAATTTCATAGCAATGATTACTGAAGTGTGTTCAAAATTTTGTCTGTATAAAATATTCATATGCTTACAAACTTCATCTGTACTTTTACGATACAAAAGTATACAACGCCGAGTTTCATTATGTTTTCAAATTAATATTTCGGTGTGGAGTAGTAAATAATAACTTTAATGGAACCGTTGTAATGATGATATTGAACCTTGAGAAATATTGATATGTTAATTAAAAAATTTCGCTTACTTTGATAAAATCGAATGTCTTAGTTAACATGACTATAGCGGCAGCTCTTTCCTGCCAGATCATTCGCCAGAATGACACCACTGTCTCCTCTGTTGGCCCCTGAGTCACTATGTATGCGTTAGGTTTTAAAATACTCTGAAACAAAGGTTTATAATCAAAATAGAAGTAAAAAAAGTATTATTTTCAAGATAAACAGAAAATTACAATACATTTAGAATTAAAAAGGTATAACAATTGTTATTATTACATCTTTAATTACCGTTAATATACATAAATGTTTGTTAAGATTAACCTCCGAAACGACTCAGAGAATTTTAGGACGGACTGTCGCAGAAGATTAAAAAAGTAGGCGGATTTTAATTTTAGAAATCGCAGACGTCAACAGCTATGTAACAAATATTTAATTTGTTATGTAAAAGGCGCAGATTTTATGTTAATTTTTACTCGTTTATTCTGTTATACGAAAATATTTCAAACATTCTTTGGCCTTTTAAATAAGGCGCCTGAATTTTGAATGTAAGAAAAGTATGTGCGTAATTGTTTACATTTGACAACGGATTGTTGGAAGAAAAAGTTATATTAAGTAATCAGATAAAGGTATAAGGTATATTTATGAATGTGGAGGGAGAATTTAAAAATATCTAGTCCCAGTTGAAATAAATAGCATCCAGATAGTCTTATAAATGAATCTAATAAAACAAGAGTGCGAATTCTATTTCTTCCATAAGATTAGAGTAATGACCTGAATTCTAACTAATCGTATTACCCCGTAGTCTTGAGTTCAACCTTAAATAAATGAGATTTTTATTACGCTTGCTTAAGTAATGGCAGTATTAAAATGCGCATATACTGTTACTTTTAAAGAATTTTTTATTACGTAAATATAATACATGTTTATAGTATTGCTAGTGGATAGTTGTAGATAAAAATGTTTTGTTACTTTAAAAACTATTGTAACCATAGAGATAAAATTAAATTATGTCCGTATTTTTATAACTAGCAATTTCATAAGTTTGACCGGTATTTGTGCCGAATCAGGCCTTTTTTAAATAATTTAATAATAATTATATTAAATGGAGTAAAATTTACAGTGACTAGCTTAATTTATAATAACGTATGTTAATTTCGATCAAGTTGGTTTCAGCTATCTCTTTACTTTCATTTGTAAACCCTTTTCTAAAAGTTGACACTGGGTGGCTGATGGGGGTCTAACCGCAAGCTGAACCATAAATTTACTGAATTTTTATACACACAATGGATAGAATATAAAGAATTGTAAAGTAATCGAATAAAATCATTCTATGTAGAATTTTCATTTACTGTTTATATATAGTAATAAATTGGTTTGAATTATTGAAAAATCCGTAAATGACAATAATATACTTACAAATTATTCTGTTTTATGTGTGCATCGTGAAGTTATTATATCGTATTCATATTTTATTATAATACTACATCATAATGAACTCATAATTCAAACAAAAATTTACTTTATACTCCGTAATTATTACAAGCGGATAAAGTAATGAAGAAACTCTATAAGTGCAAATTTGAACATAAAACCTCCGTCTAGTTGATTTGAACTCGTTTATTTCAAAAGTAAGTCAGACGGGGACAGTTAACAATGAAAACTTTTGACCGCGAACTTCATTTAACGACAAATAGAAGAGTGACGAAGCTTATTGATATTGCTCTGAGCGTTCGCTTCGATAATATTGTGAAATTATTTTATATAGAATAAAATTGCTTCGTATAAACACTGAAGCTTATATACTCACATCTATGTAGGAAGCGTTTATGTAATCAGAATCGGGTTCTCTATCGACTGTCTGTAGAACCACTCTATTGTAATCGTCTGCAATCAAATAACGGTTTTAATCAAGATATCAGTATAGCATGCATTTTTTTTATTGTTCTTCCATTTGTGTGGAAAATTAATACGTTACATGTAAATATTGCAAACACAGTTCAAGAATCAATTTATATTACTTTGTATAATGTAGGTCAAATCATTTAAAGTATAAAAAACCATATATCATAATTGATTGATATGTTCCATTAAATTTTTCTCAATAGTTTTTTATATGTAGTTATATATTGATATTATAACGAAAAGATAAAGATTAATATAATATTTATTCACATGTTTATAAAGAAGGTATTATAGTTACAATAATATACATACAGGGAGTAACTTTTTGGTTCTGGTTTTTGTGTGAATTGGTCTTTTTTTGGGCGTGGCGGCATGCGTGTGTCTCCACCTTGATGGCTGTCTGTAACAAAATACAATTTTTGTCTTAATTTATTCATAGTTAAACTCTTACTTCATAACCTTAATATATTTTATATTCTTATTCGAACTTGAAATAAAATAAAATGAAAAATACAAATACGCTTTTCTGCTTTAATATTAGCAAGCTTAATTGCTGTAAACCTATAACCTTCCACAATCATTACCCTTTGTAATGTTCGGGCTCTACCTAATCATCCAATGAAGTGCAAAATTTTCACCAATCTCTCTTACCTAATGGAAAACTTAAAAATACACCTTTGACCTTTTCAACTCCGTCTATTAATTTTACGTTAAAAGCACCAGAAATACACATTGACCCAAAAATATTATCGGCCTAATTCTTTAATAATAATTTCTCTAATGTATATGTATATGAAAATATTGCATAGGAAGATAAAAATAAGGAGTACTTATTACATAATAAAAAATATGTAAAAAACAGGCTTGTAACGAGATTTATAATCTTGCGTATAACAGTTGTAATGAAACTAATTAAGAATTCATACCTTCTAGTAGTTTATTTTATTAACCCAAGTGATTCTCTGTTAAGAAAGAGATATAATAGGTTGTTTTAGTGCTCCCTTGAAGAATACATTATTTTACTCCGGTAGCTTAAGATTTTTTATTACAACTTAATTTGACATACAGATTAGCATATTTGAATAGAAATTTAATAAAATTATCATCAAAAATTTAAACATCTTACTGTCATTAAGATTGAAAATAAGAATTAATTCTGATCAGACGGTTATAGAAGGTTTTTGCAATCTTCGATAACTAAAACCTACGTAGTTGATCAATTTTTAATTAATTATTCTTTTGAGAGTGAAATATTAAAATTTTCTATGTTTGTTTTAATAAATTTTCTTAATAATAAAGAAGCTTTCGTAGAGCGGAGGCGGGTTTATATTGTATAGTCAAGGATTTTGTATAGGGATGGTGAAAACGAGGTATTTTAATTTTGTATGAGAAAGTAAAAGAATTATACTGAAAAGAAACGTTATCATTCTAATGGCAACATTACCTATCATAATTTTTATGATGAAGTAATCAATAATACGACTATCTATTTTATTCATTTTAAGTTTTTCATTAATCGTTAATAAAAAAATATCTATAAATCAGATTTTTGCTTCTTGTTATAACTTGTACAAGTAGTTTATTTTATTTGAAAATTTTCTTTCGCGGTATCTTTTAATAGCTTATAAGACAAGGTAAAAGTTGCACTTCTAAATTATTATACAGTTTGTGAGGATATACCCATGCTAGTTATGCTTCATCCATGAAAGACTGAACGGTTTTTAGTGAACCTTTCTAATTATGTGAATATAAAATCCGAAGAGATTATACATGAGATGAAATAAATATCGTTTCATTTAATTTATTCACCGTGCGGGTACAGGGTCCATGTGTTACAGGGAGAGGAGCTTCAACAGTGTGACCCAGGTGTAGTTTTTAGGGGGCCTATCTAACGCGCGATAAACGCTTACCTTCACTGTCCAAGGTTATCTTTAGGTCAAAAGTATCTGTCCAAAGTACAAAGGTAACTAACCAAATTTGAAATTAATCAACTAGGGCTACCTTCAACGCTCGTTCCAAGAATGAACTGATGTTACTTACTCTCGCTCCTACCTCTTGCACGTGTTATTCACTCCTAAATAATGTCTATTCCTTTACGAAGCAGAGAATAAAAGTAGTGTTTTGTAAGTATTCACATGTCAGAATGTAGATATAACTGCCAGTTGGTATTTTCATCTGTTATGTTTAAGCACATATACATACATTATTAATTTCTCGGAAGTCAATTTCAAGGTACAAATGGATGAAGTCGGGAGCAGAGACTAGTTACATTTTAAGCTTTATAAATAAATACTTTCTTTTAAAAATGAGGTCATATTTATAACGTAACTAATGGATATATTAATATTATATATTATACGCGACAGGTGATATACTTTAAACTTTTATTTATTTATTGGTCGTTTTTGACACGAGTCGTTCACAGAGATCTCAATAATATACAAAATTCACTGTTCATAATAATTTGTTATTTAAATTAATGTTCCGAGAATGGTACAAAGGAATATATATTATTATATATATATATATATATACTTAAATTTTAATTAATACGTATTAATTATCTGTTATAAGAGCAATGCTTGAATAATTTCTCTGATCTAAAGATATTGATTTCGACACAAGGTGAAGTTATATTATATGATATATTGTCTTTGCGTTTACAAATACATAGATGTATTTTATTGTTTTTTATTTCTCGAGATTAATACATTATTTACTATAGAGTACTATTTAATTATATTTCTTTATTTTTATAAATGTATATAAAATAACTTAATGGTATACATAGTGGTCTTAGTTATTTTTGATGTAAGTATAAACTACATTCAATTTAATATTAAAATATGTACGATTTAAAAGCGTCGGGAGAGTGTATGTTATTTAAATATGTTGATAAATATATGGTTTGAATTTTTGTTGAAAAAAAAATACCCTAGAAATATTCATAAGCAAAACATGAATATTATTCAAAAGATTTGATAAATGTAAAATTTTATATCAAATTATAATTCTACTGTAGTTGTAATTTATTTTCGTAAAAGTTTTTGAGCTCGAAAATGAGTTCTTATTGAATAAATAAAATTCCACTGCAGTTTCTAATTTCGTTTCGATGTTCAATGTACGAATTTTTAATAAGGGGCTACATTCTGTATGCGCGCTACGAGTTATACGAAGATGCTAATGAGGAAGGATTTATTTGATTTTCTAAAGTGTTATACACTTTGACGACGGACCTATTATAAACACGTAGGATTTTGGATGCCTTCATATAAAATATAACATTAATTTACATTTTGTATATGAGTGAATGGGACCGGTGCTTTGTCCAAAAATGAATAAGCGATGTTATATGGCCAGAATTAAATCAAAAAACGAGTCAATAACTTTATGATTTTGTATATTTTGTAAGCTATAAGTATAGTATATATCTGTAATTTTCACGATTTCATTTAAACTAGATCACAATTATAAATTAGTTATTACGTAATATGTAATATAATTAGTAATTTTACTTTACAAAAGGGACTGAGATAAGCTATATTTATTTTCAGTCTTTTCGTTTTTCGTGAAGGTTTAATACGTCACTAAAACGTAAATTTGGTTCAAAGTACTACTAAACAGCTTTTTGTAGATTAAAACGGGTGGTATAAAATTTATTGAATTGTATGCTAATTGTCTGAGCGGTCGATAGATACTGTTACTTTACAATATTGAAGAGTCAAAATGACTTTTTGCAGATTTCTTTCACAATAGACGCTGTTGATTATAATTTTTTTATAAATGTCTTATATGATTTGCTATCAATATATGTTTTTAAAATCAATGTATCAGTTGAAATTTAAAAAAAAATCGTTTGTTTGTTCTATGTAAAACAACAGCGGCTAAATGTGTTAATTACAAGAAACATTAGCTAGGATTCCAGCACCCATAATGATGATTCATTTCGTCAGAGCATTACCTAATTAATACCGTGTGTCGTCAAAGCTCTACTTAGCTTTGAAACGAAACGTTTGTGCATTTGTACGTATTTTGATCCTAATGGTAATATATGGCGTTGTACGAATATATAAGCTAATAATAATGTTAACCTTAATTCTAAACCCATATTGTACTTAGTCAGTATTACCTAAGGAATATATTTTAAATGAAACTAATATTATTTGGATTACTAAGTATTTTATTGTTATAAAAATACACATACTCCCAACGTTTCGGTTACTTTTCAGCAATCGAAAGGCCTGATGAAAGTTTCTAAATTTAATCACGGTTGTTGCAAACTAATAGAAACGTCGCGTGTATGTAGTCTTTTATAATAATAAATATACATAGTAATCCGAATACCATTACTTTCATTTAAATGAATACTCGCAAATCTTAGATCTCATTATAGGAATATATTCTTTTACAGTATTATGAATAGTTGTATATATTACAATTAGTATTTACTGGTATAAACTAGTATATTTTTACCTGAAACTCAAGTTTGTATAGCACAGGGAATTTCCTCCTCTGTTCGCAGAGCTTGGGGAAGTTTTTCAGCTCCACAGGCCGGTCGGGGATAGTCTCCGATATCGATCCATTCTCGTCAGCTGTAACATTATTATATATTTAGTTTTAAGTACACAAATAATTCAGTGATGGAAAATAATTATGAAAATATTAACGTTGATTTAAATATGTTATTGGTTTTTTGGTATTTATGTGGCTGCATGTTTACTTGGGTTTAATTTACGTATTATATCAGTGTTGTGTAAATTACTTTATAATTAAAACGTTTCCCAGTTTAATTTAATAAAATATCTCATGATTAAGTTTGTATAGGTATTTTATTATGTTCTTTTGAACAATATAGTGTATAAGGTTTCATATAAGTGAAGTCCTAGCACAGCGTTTTGTTATCGTAAGTCATTGAATGCCTATGTTGAAGGTTTAAGGGTTTTTTCTTTCACGGCTGAATATTCACATATTTTTCTTATCTCAAATGCAGTCATTTTAGGACCTTTTTATGTCAAACTGATATCTCGTTATCAATCATTTTACAGAATTCAAATTCTTTACATACATTTTAGGCACGGAACCCTTAAAAATTGAGAGTACCATTATTAGTCAACCTAACGATGAATTGATGAGTTCTGGAATACGTCGCAGATGAGAAAATGATAGCGAGGGTCTTACAAATTACCGGCGTAATAATAAAAATGTTACCTTGATGATATCTACTTGTGTAATAAGGTAAGATATTCCACGTAATCATTTATTATATTAATTTTATTATATTGGTTATTCACTTTAAAGACGTATTACACCTATACAACTTTTTTTAGGTTTTGTGGCAGTTAAATGGTAAGACGTACATGTCATGGCAAAAGTCAGTGGTGGCCTAGTGGTTAAAGGGCCCGCCACTTGTGCATGAGGACGCGGGTTCGAACCTGGCAAGCACCTATGTGATTTTTCCGGGTCATATGTATTTTCTGAGAGGATTTGGACACCACTGACAGATGGTGAAGGAAAATATCGTGAGGAAACCTGGACTTTTACTTTCACAATTATAAGTTTGAAATCACCCACCCGTCTTGAGCAAGCGTGGTGATTAATACTCAAACCTTCTCCATGTAAGAAAGATGCCTTTGCCCAGCAGTGGGCTCTGATAGGATGATGACATGGCAAAAAAGTGACGTCGACTTTCAGAAGTATTAAAATAGGCTTTAATTGCCCAGAGATATTGAATGAATTCTGCATTTGCAGTACAGTCGATTGAGTAAGCGATAGTAGATTACGTTGGAAATGGACGAAAGCTATGACGAAAGCTATATATCCACCGAGTTATTTATTATACCCTCTGTAACTTTTTATTTTAGTTCTTTATTAACCTAATGAAGCTATAAAATGAACAAACTGTGGAAAAACTAAAACATTGCGTTGGGTTTCAAGTTGCCAGTTAATTAGTTAGAAATGACTTGTGAAATATTTTTATTATTCATTTTTTGTATTCATCAATTAACAAAAAATCTCAGTATTTTGCTAATTGGCTTGTATAACTTATTTATTTTTACCAGCTATTTGACTAAACGGAATTGTAGGCTTCTGTCGTAATTTTAGTTACTACAGTTTAATTAAATGTAAAGGTCATATTTAGCAACACTTTATAGTATATAGAAATATTAATATAAAATGTTGACACTTTCAATTAAGACAACAACTATAATCTTTATTTAAGATATTAGTGAAACACTATGTTTCTTAACATGATTAAATAACGAAAAATATTCTATGTAAACAATGTATTAAATTCATTCAATGGAATATGTATCTTGGAAGTTGATTAATTATCAATAGCTTTTATTTTATTTCATAAACTATTTCAGACTTTTTGTGATATTGCTTATAACTTATTAAATACGAAAAAGTATATCACAGGAATTAAATGTATAGCAGTCAACGTTTCCATATAAAAGAAAATATTGTATTAAACAAAATAATTCATATTTTTCTTACATACATATAATATCAATATACATATATTAGTTAGTAGATGATAAGGATAAAAAAGGTGTATAGATATTATTGTAATAAAAAACTTTATATTATAAATTAACTTTTATTTTTTCCTCCGAAGCGTCCATGAGCTGTTTTTGCCAGCCCCGAGTAACCCGTGCACTTCGAACGAGTTCTTTGTCATCGAGGAGGGTTCATTATAACAACACAATGGGATTATTAATTGGCTCCTATAGTGCCCGATCGCTGTGATACTAAGTTTGTTGTGAACCGAGTGGTATGTAGAACAATTTGATGTTTCTGTGCCATTTAATTTGACGTTATAAGTATTCTTTGCTTAATTTTCATTTATACGCAATCACGTAATTAATTTGAAAAGTTTTTTTGGCAATTTGGAATACTTTCCAATTACGCTTTGTCAAATGAATACTGAGAAAATTAAAAGAAAAATACTGATATTTTCGCAATAAATTAAAAACGAAAAAATAATCGTTTGTGAGTTTCTGTATTCGACTTTCATTGAAATTGAACACATGTTAACTTATCTTTCTTTGTGATTGGTATTTAATAAGCATTGGTATTTAATAAGATTTGAATTAAAAAATTGTATTTAGATGGCTACATTACCTACTGCGATAAGTTGTACCTATAAGCTGTCTCCAAAAATATTTAGTAAGAGAAATATAACACGCAAAACTATGCGCAAGGTGAAAAGGTACATAATCATCAGCCTATCAGAGCCTGCTGAGCAAAGGCCTCTTCTCACATGGAGTAGATTTGAGCAGTAATCACCACGTTTCCTCAAGACGGGTTGGTGATTTCAAACTTATAATTGAAAATTATAAGTCCAGGTTTCCTCATCATGTTTTCCTTGACCGTCTGTCAGTCGTGTCTAAATACTCTTAGAAATGGTACAAATATGATAATTCCAATCTGAGACTTTAATCGTGAAAGTTGTAACAAAATAAAAAAGGGTCAGTGAAAGATTGAAGGAGAAAATAGTATTAAATAATAATTTTTTCGTTTATATGTCATAAGTTGCTATCCTGCAAGAAAGGATTTTGAGCTTTGGAAGGGAAATATAAAAACAAAGTGCTAAAAAAGAATTCAGTCAACGTAGTTGAACGGTTAAAAAAGTAAGAAGTGAATATAGGAATAAGCTCAAAGACAAATGACTGGAAAGGATTAACTTGATTATTTTCAGCTAAGGTAATCTATAGAGAAAGTATGGTTCCATGAATTGGATAAGTCGTAGAAACCAAAACATACTATAGCCATTTGAGAGCTGTATACTATGGAGAAATAGTTGAAATATTTTAGAAACTTAATTATATTTATCTAAAGTCGATTTAGACTTAGTCGAGTTATCCAAATGTAGGTCAAGTAGATAGAAATAAAAACAGTAATCGCTAAATCTATACATACATTAAAAAAACAAACCTTTTCTTTCAAACAGTATTCAAATGATTTAATTAATTAATTGAAAAGGTATCAATTATAATATTAGATATTTTACAATTTCTTTTTCCTACACCAAAAGTAAAAGAATGTTTATTAAATGTTGAAACTAGAATGAAAAGTTTTAGACCAAATATAAAAGTTTCGGAAATTGTTTAAAACACTATTCATATTTTTGTGTTTTAAAATACCAAAACTCAGCGCAATGATCAATATGAAAGTTATGTAAACAAAAAACGATACTTTTAGTAACTTTGTCCATTTAATTAGTCAATAGTACATTATAAAGGAGAAGACTTTGACTACGTTATACACTCGGAGCCATTATATGTAATACTTGGATACGATATTCCTTTAATAGCAAGTATCTTATTAAGGAAGGGTTAGTTAATAATTGTATTACCATATTATGATAAATTTTATATGCATATCGTATTAGTCAAATATTTTTTTTAAGAAAAATTAGATGGCAATACAATAACGTTGAACATACTTTGAGTGTAAAACTATATTTTATGCCAGTTTTCATGATATATGTAAGTATTAACTCTCTTAAAACGCCTGATATATACAGGGTGACTGGTGAATTACTATCAATATTTAAGGAGAATACTCGGTACATGATTCTCATTCGAATTATGTAAAAAAAATAGGCACTTAATTTTTGACAAAATTTCCGTATAAATAAGTAAAGTGTTGACACGTTCCAAGTGTTCAAGTGTGGACGCGTGCGGCGGCGTGCTGATACAACACTACGTCACGACACGCGTATGTGTGAGTGTGAGTGTATACCTAATCTGTAGAGTGTTCACACGATGCGTAATTAATTACATAACTTTTGGTTAACTTTACTTAGAAGTTTATTAATATTTATGTTATATTAATTTTTATTTCGTCATATATGATCGTCAAATATCACGTCCTCAAATATCGATAGTAATTCACCAGTCACCCTGTATATTCACGGTCAAGACAGGCCTCTGTCTTGATCCTAATATATCATATACATTTTCAAAAATTCAGGACTGAATAAATAAATATACAATATCGCTTATACAACTTAGTAGATATAATTTGAGGTTTTATAAACATTTGTGATTTTTTTCCTACATTACTTTAAAATAGATTATTTTCAAAACTTTCACACTTTCAAGTAAGTTATGTACTTAAATTTCTTTTTATATTAAGGTCATACAAAGTATAAAATCCTTTTGGTCTCCTATTAAATAAATATTAATTTTCTAATTTTATGACATTTAATATGTCTATTATATTTTTCCATATAAAAACTCTGAATTCTTCGACAGATATTAAGAAAATAGATTAAATAGTTATGTGAATGTTACAAAAAAGGCTATGTTAATATTTTCGTGAAATTGTTTTAATATTTACCATGCAATAGATCACCTCTATGCACGTGTAAGAGTTTAATAAAACATAAATTATTGCGTTCCAGACGATTTACTCAATTATTGACTCACCTAGGAGTTTGCAAGTTGGGATCAGAATTTGGAGGAGAGCCAGCGTTTGCTAAACTTCATACAGGCTGACATCATATGACTTCAAACTTAAAATTAAGAAATATAAAACTCTAATACAATTGTATAAAGTTCAAAATTAAACTGCAATGTAGCCTTAAGATGTTAAGTTTGCCGGTACTATGAAGTATAAAGTAAAGAACGTCATAAGTTGTATGGAGAGAGAATTTTTATTAGTTTAAAAATTGTCTGTTACTTATATAGAGAAAATAATATGAATCACGTTATTTATACTTAAAAGTTTTCTGACTTAATTTAATGTAACAGTTTTGTTGTGTACAATATGATTTTTTTAACAACGGGTTTTTCTAAGATCTTTTTTACGATATTTTTTTTATGAAGTGTATGTTAAATAAAAAAAATATTAAAATTATATTAAAATCATACTATTAATAAAATTCAATTGAAAAACCGTACATATTTTTTTTTAGAAAAACCTTTAAGTATAAAATAAGTAATAAAGACGATAAATTCCCTGGCACTCAAAATTTCCAATCTCATGCTCTTTAAGAAGCACGTTTTTGTTTAACGAACATGAAAGGAAATCTCCGCTTTGAACTTTTTGACTATATACAGTTGATTGATTTTATTGTTTAGTATTGTTATTGTCTCAAATAGAAAAATAAATAGAGAGATTTAGCTGTGATTTACTTCATCTGTGTGAATGAAACTAATATTTTTCGAATTTACTACTCGATTTTTATTTTTGATTATAAACTATTACATCGCGTATGTAGTACATCCGAAAAATATTAGTTTTATTAAAATGAATATTCGCAAAAATCTTAGATCTCATTCATCTATGGGCTATCTGATCGTTAATACAACTGAAATATTCTTAAATGCTTACAAATTACAAAACAATTATTCGAAATCATTTATATATTACTAATATTAGAAAAAGGAACTTTAAATTGCAAACCTTTTAAATTTTGATTGATTTCCTTAATTACTATTTTTTTACATTTGGCTTCAAAGTTGGAGCAGAAATTGTTATTACTAAGTGACTCTGTATTTAAATTCTATTAAGCGTTTCTAACTTACATTGCATCTGTTGTTATTCAAGGGGAAGTTTCTTAGCTAATGCTAACTTTATCAACGTACACGTGATTAAAGATTGTGAAAATTAAACTACCTCTTTGTTAGAGGTTCAGCTTGATGAAATCAGATTTTTTATTAGTTATATTGTTACTTAAGAACTTCCTGCAGCTTATTTTACTCGTAAAATAATGAAGTTATATACTTTTTAATTAAACGCTTTGTGAACTAGGTATTAATAATACTGAAAATATAAACAAAAATGCAGAATCTTGGTGTAGAAGTAGATTATAATCTTAAACACATTGTTTTTTTTTTGAGAGCCATATTTTTTTCATATCATTTTATTTTATTGTAAAGATATATTAGTAGAAAGAGTAAAAATGGCCCCAAATGAGATTTTCATGTAAATACTTCATGTCTTAGTATTTATTTGTAAAATAAGAAAGATAAACGGATTCTACATGAGATAAAACAGTATCCAAAGACATACAAAAGCCGGTCATTCCCTTTGTTTGGGAAAATATAGGTATTTGGTAGTTCAGTGTATACAAAACTATAAGTCCTTTGAATTGCGACGACTTTGTTAACATATGTAGGAAAATAGTGCTTTCCTTTGTCACTTATAGAGTTGATTTATGTTGATAGCTGAAATAAGGTTATCTGGAATATTTAATGAACTAAAAACCTAACATAACGTTTTTAAAGTGTCACAAAATAAATAAAAAAATCTTTGATCATATTCTTTTTTAATAGACCTATTGATGTAATAATGAAATAATTATAAATAAATATTTGATGATATTATCAAGACATTATTTGAAGATCTCAAAATTAAGTGATGATGTGCTGTGTTTTTGTAAAGTGATAATTAATTAATGAAATATAATAGTCTTAACGAGAATGACACGTAAGAAATGTCACATGTCAAAAAATTTGCCTAACTTATGAAAAATTACATACTTTTTTTCTCGATTTATAAAGGATTATTATTAACACTCCTTTTATAAAGCGTTACAGCTGTTACAGAAAACTATATTTTCTACATAAGCTGTTATGTATTGTATTATTGTTATGAGCCTTACAAGCATTTAGGGTTATTCTAAACAATTCTAAAACAAACTAACACAGCAAGCAGTTTTAATTCTACATAAAATAATACGTTATCATTAAAGACGTTCACATTTAATTCTTAATAAAAACAAAATGGCGGACTATCTAAATGACGCGAAGCCGTGGAGAAGTCTTGCCATTTTAGCTTATTATGATAATTATTTATATAATACCATGTAAATATATTATCAGCCATAATTATATTTTATAATTCATTTAAGATTACTTTTAACTAACCTCCCTTTTAAAAATATTTTTATATGATTTTTTTTCAGACGTTATGTTTAATCTACATGTATTATTAATCTCAATAGGTATTTATTACTTCAACTCTGTTTAGTTTCAAATTCTCAGTGCATTTTCCAATAAATTCTACGTGGCGATAAAGCGTTAGTACTAATCTAGCATACGGATAATAAAGCGTATTCCCTCTTAACAAAAGTAACTTTAGCAACCAACTTACTTTCAGGTTTAAACGTCACTCGCTCTGAAATAATAAAATTAGACATTAATTCAATGTCTGTGACTGGTACTGCCCAGAGATGGGTGTTTTAGGAAATATACGAAGGAATGCTTTGTTTATCAAAGTCTAGCAATAACATTTTCCATTTTATTAAATCAATGGAGAATGCAATTAGATTTTCGATACTAACCTATTTCTTAACCTATATCTTTCTAAAAAGACATAATAGACCACTTTTGATGTAAAATAATCATACTAAAGATTAACGAAGAGGCTTTGGCTAAATTAAAATCTAGAATAAGTTAACACTCCCGTTATATTAAAACGATGCCTTAACTAATTAACTGATAAAAATATACAATAAGAATATAATAGTAGTAACGTAGCGATTGTAAAGTTGTTCATAAATAAAAACTGAATTAATACGTCGTTGGCTAGCAGTATTGTATATATTATTGGAATCGGAGTCCAGTGTGCTTCCAACGAACACTTTAATTAAATTTTTTCACTTACCTTTTGTAGTCATGATGATGGTACATGAAACAAAGAGATCACAATTAATGAACGGGAATATAATATTTATTTATATATAAATTCACATAAATACACACACACACACACACACATATACACATACACATCCACATACACAAATCATAGTACATATGCCTATATGATATCGAGTATAAAAATACACCCACACACTTTCATTAAGATTCTGACTACTTCGTTGATAATCTTTATATATTTAGTTCGTCGAGAATAGATCGATCTTTCTGTCAATGGACATCTGAGACTTTCGTTAACATAATAAACTACGAGCATATATACGTCATGGATCGCTTATTTATTTCTAGGTATAGTGAAATTTCGAGACAATCCTGTGTGCAGAGGCATGTGTTGCTTGAGGACATAATATAGTACTTGAAATTTGATCACGATTTTGGTCTCCGTCGCGTCGACATGGCGCCTCTGTCTGACCCCATTCCTCTTCTGTATGGTGTAAGTGATGAACGTTAGCCCTATTTATAGTTATTTACACTGATAGAAATATATTATATATCGAGTAAAGTAGAAAATGATTCAATTGTTTTAGTAGAGGTCACTACATTTCATAAATTGTAAACTAAATTTTGAAATAAAGAACTTAAAAGATAAAATCGTATTTAATTGATCTAAAAGTTCAATGGGCAAGATTTTTTTTATTATTATTTTTAATTGAGTTTGTAATTGCTAAACTATTTTATATTTCCGACTTTCTAGTTCCTCTTTTACAGCCATTTATAAGTAATACGATTATTTATTTTATTCCTAAATATTTTATATACTTGAGAGTTTTGGTTAACTTTCTGTTATATTATTATATCAAGTTGAACTTTATAATACCATTTGAAGAAATCACCGCCATTTAGAAATTTTCGAATTTGTAAACATATGTACTTACATAAATTTGTAAAGAACCCCTGCCTTATTCACTAAATTTCATTAAAGATATATATTTATTTAATAAATAGATTTCGGAGGTCCTTCCAAGAATTCTTATAATATTTTTATACTTGAACACAAGATCATACTTAATTTATATTATCAGATTAATCTTAAAAAATTGTTTTAAAATTTAATATCATAATTATTCAGAGAATTTTATCACGATCTAGAGTAGATTGTAGAATATTCTGGATGTAAGCACAATGCGCTAAGTTTTCCAGCGTCTAGTAATTCTGAACGTATCTAAAACACTATACCAGGAAGTTAAAAAAATATTATCAGTAGATGATAAAAAAACTATACTAACTGAGTCATTTTATCTCCCTTGCAAAGTTTCATGGTAACTTCGAACACGTGTAACCATCGGGTAAAATTTTGTGTAATAAATCGCATAGCTGATTCAAGAACCATAGCTCGATTTATGTCCATAGATTTATGATCTTACGAAAGTCATGCATAACATTCTGAAATCACAATTATATATTTACAATAATTTTCATTTCTTGGACCACAAACTAACAATACTGAAGTAGGGTCAGCGAGGTTCTCAGTAAACACCCATTTTCCTTGAATTATGACTGTACTTTGATACTTTTTTTATTTATTAGAATTAATATCAAAATAGATATATTATCGACGATTTTAATTTAAACATTAAAACGTAAGCCTTTAATAATAATATTAAATACTCATGATGAATTCAATTACTGCGCACAATAATACAATGTAATATATCTAGTTGTTTTATAAATAACATCAGTGCTGAAACGAATCTGAGGCTTAGACATAAATACAAGTGGAAAATTCTAGAAGCGAGTTGGAGTCGACTCATTCACGAACACTTGAGTCTTGTGAGATCGAAAGCTCATGCCTGGCTGTTAATAGAACCTCAGAAAACCTAGAAAAGAGGTAACATAATGAATACAAAATAAATATATTTAATTACTTGTATTTTTGAAATAAATAAACCTATGTGAAAAAAGTTACGGAACATACATATTTACATAATTTTCAATAATACATTTTTAAATAATATCCTGCTATTGACTACAAAAAAAAATCTTTTTGAACTACTAAAAAAAAACCAGCCAAATAACTTTTAAATTTTATGAATTTGAAACTGAATCAATATTGTAATTTTGAAACATATAACTGAACTAAACATGTAACTGAAATAATATTATCACAAAGACTGACAGCATTGAAGTACGTTCTGAAACGGTAAAGATTACAATTTTAAAACTAAAATTTTCTGCTTATATTGTCATATAATTTTAAGTATTGCCATATATATTATATATACATATAATGTAGTATAAAACGTAGCAGTTGCCAGGGGAATTGTATAATATATTGTTATTTACTGGCACCATATCTCTGACGTCATTCCACACACGCGTATTACCTTTTTAGAGCGTATAGCACTCAATAGCTTTATGTACAGTGATAAAAGCAGATTAGATATAACTTTATATCACTCATTATAGTGTTATAAGTAATAAAGCCTTACTTATAAAACTAACATTATAAGTATAAAACCTTACATATAAAAGTTATTCAAATTATGTTATGAGGATGTTTTTTAATGCGTTTTGTTTATTAGCAAATGTAATGTTTTAATTTTTCCTTTTATAACACTGCTTCTTATGGAATTTTACTGCCTTATATACTTATTTATGTATAAAGAACCTAAATTATCTATGCTTATTAAACAAGTGACTAATTTTCAATAGCCTGAAAGTTCGCGAGATATTTCATAAATGAATTCAAAAAGTTTTATATTCGACCATAATTGACTATTCCACATATTATAAACGAAAATAGATGCTTGGTTAATTTTAAAGTAATACTATGTCTGCACGTAACATTTTAAAGAAAGACATGTCGAATTGAAGTACTAATTCTTTACCTAAAATCATTGTATCCCTTCCTTGAATATTGATAAACCATACAAGATTTAAGAAACGGATGTACGAATTTAGTTTATAGTGTAAATAAATTCATTGAGTTCATTATTTTTTGGCATTTGTTAGATGTATTTTGTATTTCCATAAATTGATTTGAACCGGTCAAATAAACAGTCTGTCTTGGCTTTATGCTTTCTGAATGGTTTATTTGGAGCTGCGGAATCTGTGTGGGTGTGAATCGGCGTATCGCTAACGCTATCAATTTGTGATTTTATTACAACCTTGTGGCTTGTTTTTTATTACTTTGTATATTGTTTGGTATATAATTGTTTTATTACTTAATTATTAATATTTTGATTAATAATATGATGAAATTCACTGTCTTATAATGATTTTAAATTTAATTATATTCATGAAAATTCTGGAGGATTACAGAAATACGAAAATGCGTGTTACTCTTATTTTAGATGTTACTTATACTTTATAGCAAAAGGTCATTCAATCAAGAAAGATTTCTAAATTAGAAGCGATCTTCTAAACGCTTACTTAAAGGTTGTCCAAAAAACTATCCACAAAAGCTAATATTTTGATGATAAGACGCTAGTTGTCAAGAATGCGAAGAATTGAACGTAATAAGCGCATGCGTGACAAGCTCATCATGTTGCGTGGCAACAGGTTTGTTCTCATTATAAAGAGGCTTTTATCTTAAAATAATTAAAATTCCACTTAAAATTTAACAGTTGTAAAATAGGAAACATAATACGAAAATTTCAGCCAACAAATCCAACAGGACTATAAATTTCAATTTCACATGTAATGAATAATTTTAAGCAAAATATGTACACCGCAGAGCATTCGTATGTATGACTGAGAATGTTAAAGCTACACGGTCAGCTGTTAAGAGACCACAGTCTATTCGGCTTTGGCGGCTTTGCCTTTCTTCACGTTATTGTAGCTAGCTGTAATGCAACATGCAATAGGTTGACGAATACTCTTATAGCTATATCAAAATATATCACTTCAAAAACTATTATAATAGAAGAATATCAGTAGTGACTTCTATAACACAAAACTGAATCAGATGTAAATTAACATTGATATCCATTTCCTGGAAATAAAATACTGAATTTCATAGGGATTCTTAACAATTCTCGTTTGTTGTTAAAACAAAAACCACACAAATGCAAGTCTGACTTGCAATTACAAAATACCGTTTTAATAAAATACTAGTTTATGAAATGTATTACATTACTTTGTGGTACTGTTGTCATTACTAAATATTAGTACCCAACTTATATTGCACTTGAAAAAACTATTGGTAACTTTGATAGACTTAGATTTCGGTTACAGTATTATGTGATGTTATAGTAACTTTGAGGAATTCTGCTATTTTATTTATTTACATAGCTTGACATTCCTTTTTGATTAATGTTATTGTTCTATGTCTTGAGTTATTATAGACGTCTGGGATTTGATATTTTTGCTAGCATCAAATATAGAAATCACATAGAGCATAAACCACCTCACTTTTTTATTTGTTTCATTTTGGTTTTCCCAATGAAAGGATGAAATGTAAGAATACTACAAAGTAGTAATTTTTTTAATGAGATATGAAACGTCCTGAAATAG